GTATTTGAATGTCCACACACACTGCCTGTTTAAATGGCATGGTGTGGGTATACTGTAAGCCTGCATTCAGTACACATTAGCGTTCCCTAAAAATAAAGCTGTGGAGAGCTATACCTCTGCTCTGTCTTTCCAAAACAAATTCAACATTTTCAGACAGTTCTATAACAGAAGTGTGACTGTCACAGCAAAGCTATGGTACACACACACACACACACAGACCAATGTATATATAGCCAGCTCAGTAATTAGCCCTCACAAAGTAACCTTTGGCCTGAATGTTATCCTGTATGACAAATGAAGTTGCAGCAGCAACATGAAGAGTGGTCATTAGTGTATGTCGAGGCGTATACTGGAAGAGGAGGCATGGCATGCGTATCAACTCACTCATCTGGGTTCTGTCCACCAAATGGCATTTTTAGACTGTCTTTATCTTTGTTCCTTTTGCGTGCAAATGGCACAAAGATGACCACAGCCTTCAGATGATAAAGTGCTGGGTAGTGGCAAAAATGGACGCTTTGATGCAAACCTGATGTAAAGAGCTATTGTTGCCATGTACCAAACATTGTCTTTAAAAATAAAAAAGAAATTCAAAAATCTTTTTCAATTAATTTTAACATCAAAGAAAGAAAGACTAACCACATGCCAAAACATAGCTCTAGAACAATTTAAAACTAATTAGTAGTTATTTAAATGATTATTATTATTTGATTCCTTGTCAAGAGTTAAATGATTGATACCATTCTCATACTGTATGTGGACTAAGACAGACTGGTCAGTAGTCAGGAGGTGATTAACTCAATTTAGCTTAAAATCTGGAAGCAGGGTAAAATTATTAGCCCGCTCTTTCCATAACCTTGTCGTTTTTACATTTAAGTTCTTGTTTAAGTGGAATAAACACAATGTATTATTTAATTAAGTCTTTAATCAATCAATTAATTTGTAATATTTAGAGGTGTTGTGGTGTTTTAAACTTTACACAGAGCCAAGCTGTTTTCCCCTAATTCCATGCTACGCTAAGCTAATCATCTCCTGGCTCCAGCTCCATACTTTAATGCTGCAGTGTTGATGCATTGTGGCAGAAAGGCAAGAACAGGACAACATCCTATTATTCCAGCTTTTTGACAGCCACGCATTATTCCAAGATTGACCCCCACTGCTAGCATTGTTGTCACACTGTTTAAATAACCTAAATTAGCTACTTTTGCTGTGTAACATAATTGGAGCGGTTGTTAATGTGAATGTTAAGTGAAACTTTTATTTATATCTAACTAATGATGGTGGCTTTGCAAGAATTTTGCCATCAGTTTGTTGACACTTTCCCGAATGGAAGATAAAGTAGCTGTCTTGGAATTACAGCAAGGAAGATGACAATCTAATTACGAAGACTTGAGAAAGACAGTGAATAGGTGCATTTCCTGAAAAGTCAAACTCTTACTGCTTAAGTGCAACTGGAAGACAAAGACATTTTTGTACAAAAAACATAGAAATTGTGTGTTATCTCCAGATATTTTCATGTATGCATCAGTGCCATTAACCAAAGATGAGTAAATACTCATTCTACAACCACCATAGAGTATATATGCCATTAAACAAGGTATTGGGAGCAAATTGAATAGCTTGCATGTGACACTGAGACAAATTGTTTCATCACGTTACATGTATGTGTATTGAGTGTATTAGTATAAAGGTCAACTGATGAAGAGGATAAACCTTTAAACATGCTTACTCCTGACTGTAATATCAGGGGTCAGAGATAATAATTTCTGCTTAATACTCCCAGTGGACACAACCATGAGAAACAGCTCTATCACTGAAGAGGAGTTTCAAAAAGAACTGATAAGAATATTAACTTTAGACACTGGGTGCCTCCCCTTCTTCACTATTCCAAGGGAGGATGGTTCAGCGGTGCTGATAGTGCCTGTGCATCAGTCTTTCACCTTCCTGCTACACACTGATTCATTAAACTTGTATTTTGTTCTATTGCTCAAAGTGACAGGCAGGCCAGTCACTCCTCACCCTCCCTGAGATCTCTCCATTCACACCTGCAAAGATGCCCAAGTAAAACATGAGCTGGGGAGGCCTCACCATCACATGTTATGATGCTTGCACATTCAACACATACTCCCATACACAGTATTTTCTCCTTCTGTTCTGATAACTTTATGCATACCCGTCCACTCACATGCAGAAAGTTCAGGGCGATGTAAAGTTGCACATACACATTCATTCTTGTGTCCAACTGGTAGAAAAGTGCCATACTTGAGGGGACCTTCAAAGGAGAATCCATCCTGTTTTGTTCATTGGTGGTGATTTTTCTTAATCACATAACACCTAAAACATCATCATGTTTCCTCTTTAACTTGCTAGAAGATTACTGTATCAAAAACATTAACACTACAGTTTTTGCTGTCAGTCCCCGAGGATAACACTCATCAGATACATTTTACACCCATTTTAATACCTTCAGTCACCCAGAATTGAATGCAGTGACAGACATATTGGGTTCAGAGCGAGGGGTATGTCTGCAAACCTTTTTTGTATCCACAGACTTGTTCGTCCTTGCTTAAACTTCATACCACTTCACTGAATATTACCAAAAGCAACATTAATGAGGCCTCTGTGCTACTGATGTCTCGCAGTAAACCCGACAGTGTTATGCAATATCAATGCCTGTCTTACTGCTGTAATGTAATTGATTAAGTTCAAAGTTTACAGTAAACTGGATGTCAGGTGTGTGTTAGCTTCAACAAAGGTTTGAAAATCCCATTCTTTGTGCGAACTATCAATGAAGCATGGAAATGTAAGAACCAGGTTCTTCAACACTCACTAATTAACATAAAATCAGTAGGAAATACAAAATGTATAAACAACAATTTGGACTGAGCTAATCTACCTATTTCAGTCCGTTTCTATTCTCCCACTGTTGCTAAGCTAACCGGCTACTTCATATTTAGTTCACAGATATGAGAGTGGTATTGAACTTCTCATCTAACTCTTTTCAGCAAAGACAATCAGTGAATTGTTACCTGAAGTATCACACTATTCCTTTAAAGGACTTTTAAGACTCCTTTCAAGACTTCTGCATGAATAAAGGTCCAACATACTGTTTAATATTGAATATTTTTTGTCTGGTATGTAATTAGTTAGGTTTCACATTTAGAAACCCAGTAGAGAAGTATTGTGTGCGCTATATGATTGTATAGCTTATGTTGCTTTAATGCCCTGTTATGTCAGTAAAGAAAATTCCTCCTGCTCATCGTGCTCTTCTCTTGGTACAGTAGCTCTCTGTGTCCACACTATGTATTCATTACTTTACGGTCTGTCTCGGGGGACTTAAAAGCACTGTCTAGTGTTCCTCCCTGGAGTTTTGCCCTCCATGGTGTACAGTGCAGTACCTCTCCATGATGAGAGAGGAGCCTGGTAGCACGTCCATCTATTTCCATCTCTCTGTGGTCTGGCTGCTGCTCAGGCTGACCCACAGCCTTTCTAATTTGGTGATGAGCTGTAAAGTGACCTGCCTGCCCCCACGGCCGGGCGGCTGGAGCGAGAGTGGGATTCCAGGGATTTCCTTACCAGGCAGTCTCTTGGGTTGGATGGATGATACTGTATACACACCCCAACCCTGTCACACACACCCCGGACCTCTCCCTCTCCTCTTCCTCCTCGGACCCACGGGGAGACCAAGGCTCCAGCTCTCAAGTGCACCCTGGCATTGTCCCGTACACCCTCCCTGCCCCTGGGTAAACTGAGATGCCAGGAATAATTGATGATGATGTAGGCCATGGTATCTGTCCAGGCAGGGCAGCAGACACTTTCTCCCACCTCCTGCTGAGGGGTTACCCTCCTGCCACCTCCATTTGCACTAATTGGTTTAAACTCACTGCTGCTCTACAACTGAGACTCACCCTTTTCATGTATGTCATTAAGTGCTTATGTATTTCATCTAGCTCATTAGTAAATTAGATATAGCCTACTGATAATCCTCCTCCACTCTCTATCCAAAATATTGTGTGTCTCGTTTAGCAGCATTAGGTATTATGGTATGTCTAAGAGGTGAGAATGTAATTTTAGTGGTTTAACGTAGATTAAAATGAATGCACTGCGTCAGAGGCTATGTGTGTCCCCCGATGAAGGCTTCATAGGACAAAATGTTACCATTTACTTGTCCAAATAAATTCGGGTGTATGTGGGGTATTTTCTCTCCCTGTTTTTTAAAGTTAAATGAGTCTCTGACCCACTGTGCTGTACACGCTATGCACCTTCTCCCACTGAGCCACCTGTATTCCTTATTGTTTCATTTCGGAGTGCAACAGGGGGACTGGCTGACTCTAATCCACGGCCACAGAAGAGGTTTAAAACACTCTGGTTTCATCTAATCTTCCAGCTCAGACCTAGCCGAGCTTGAAACCCGCTTTCTCCATGATAGGAATGGACAAATAAAGGTCTCTCCCAGCACTCGTATGAAAGGGGCCTGTGTGCTCTGTGGATTAGGGCCCGGTGTTTTCTCTGTCTCTCTTTCTCCATTAGACTGAAAAGGATGAAAAAAAAGACTCTCCTGTTCATGCAGTATTGTAAGGCTTTGCAAGTTGTATAGTTATCTTTCAGTTCTGATGTTTTTTTTTTAGTTCGTTAGTGTTTAGTAGCCCATTATAGAAGTAGTAGGATTCTTTGTCAATCATATCATAAAAATATTTTAATTATATATCAGAGCGCTGAGCTCCTATCTGTTTATCCAAACTAAACCTAACCATTGGTTTTTGTTTATCCAGCCTATTCAATATTTTCATAGCTTCATTTTTAATCTCTGCAAAGTGAAACCTCACAATAGAAATACGCTGGCGCTCAGATCCTTAAACATGTAGTGAACGCACACAAACGGGCAGGCAGTCATAACAGGAGTATGTGTGTGTGTGTGTGTGTGTGTGAGAGAGAGAGAGAGAGATATGACTCTTTTGTACAGGCACTTCCATGGGCAGCTCATCGGCTGTAAATAGAGGTCCTTCAGCTCCGGCGCATGTTTTGTAACCCTTCCTCTAAAGATGGCTTTCTCTCTCTGACTACTGTCAACACAGCGGTGTCTCACTGAAATGGTATTTTGTGAAGTTTCGTTAAAGCTTCTTGTTTTTTTGTAACTAGTGACCTTACTGTACCCCGCGTTACCGCCTGTCATTCAGTAACACCATAGTGTAGCTGCTAGCTTGTTGCTAACCGTACTGTAAATAACATGCGACTGACGATTTAACTTAAGTATACTTAACTTATACTTTTCTGTTTTCAGCCCAACATTTCATTCAAATGCTTTCGCCTCAGAACTACGGAAGCCTTAAAGGGCCATG